TGACCTGATCGCCCGCCACTTCCCACCAGCAGCCCCGGCCGTCCGCCGAGCGAGACGCCTCTGGGCGGCCGGCCGCCGTCCACGAGCGCCGCCGCCTCCTCCGGCTCGGCCCCCAGCAGCCAGGCTCCGCTCCAACCGTGAAATCCAGTGCCGCCCGGCCCCTCTCACCGCCCCGCCGGGCCGGACCGCACCGGCTGACCTTTGGGCGGAGGGCAGGCGCAGGAGAGCATTGATTCGTCTTCCGTTCGGCGGCCGCCGGCGGCCGGAGACGGCGCCGATTCATTAGAGCACCGGCAGCGGCGCCGATCGCCGCACGAATTAGCCCCAATTACAGCCGACAGTCGTAGAAATGCGTGTGATGAATGGGACCGGCCTCCGGCGGCTGGCGGCGGAGGCCGGGTCGCGCGCGATATTTCAATTAATCCCGGCGAATCGCTTTCATTAATCCCTTTCTCAATTAGTTCTCGAATCGGGGAAAAAGGAAGCAAAGACGGCCTAAATTGGCAAAGTTGAGTCTATAGACAATCAAGCATACAGCGCGCCGAAGTTCGGCCGGATCTCATAAGATACCATTTATCTCAACCAGGCACACTTGCCGGCACGCAGGGTCGGATTATTGGACGCGAGCGACGACAAATAAAGGCTTCCAGAGTGATCTAAATAATAATTACACGTCGCCTGGTGTTGGGCGTATGGAAGCGATGGTCTGCCGGCCAAGGCGCCCAGATAATTTAGCGACTAATTGAGTTGTGGTGAAACTGCGCGGCGGGACACGCGCCCGCCCATCCCCGAGCGGCCGCCGCGACACCCCACCACAAGCGGGGCCCGCAACAGTGACAAAACCGCAAAACAGCGGGGCGCCCGCCACAAGAGGGCGCGCGGCACGGGCCCGCGAACGTTCGCCGGCGCTGGCAGATACCGATCTGGACAGCGTCAGCGCCGGTCTGCCCCGACCGGCCCCGGCAGGCGCGCCGCTCGCCGATGCCCCGCTGGACATAACGAGGCATTGTGTCGGGCCTGTCGGCGGCGACCCGGCCGCGCGCGCCTCCGATCGGCGCTGTTGGCGCGGTGGCCTCGCCGTCCGCTGACGGGCGGCTGGTCGCAAGGGCGGCCGCCCGGCCCACGCGCGGTTTACACGCCACGAATCGTTAGACCGAAGGCCGCTCACACCGTCAATGCGAACATCGCTGAACGACGAAAGAGAACGGCACAAAAGAGGCCGGACGGGTCTGGCCCGCGCATTCACACGCGTCCCGCTGTGGCGTGGCTTGTCCATGAGCTGATCGTGATCAGTGTTGAAACTCGCCAGGTCTCGTTTCCGAGCCAGTGTCTACAATGGTTCGTGTTTCGCACTTCGAAGTGCCTTCCTTTCCGCCTCCCACGACGCTAGGGGGAGGTGTGTACATTACTCTACGACAAATTACGGCTATTTTCTCCCCGACATCCCACGATCAAACGGCAAGCGCCGTACCGTTCTCGACATATCCTTTCCGGGGTCGGGTCGGCCCGCCTCCCACCGTCACTTACCACCCGCTGGGCCCGCCCGACTGCGGGTTAACCCGCGCGCCGGGGTCACGGCGGTGGCGGTGGCGGCGGCGGCCGCGGGGTGATGGCCGCCAGCCCACACCTGTTGCCGGACAATGGAACAAATCGCTTCCGACGCGGAGCCATCCGGCCGGTCGGCCCCGCGGCCCGGCGGCGGCGGCCGCGGCCGCGGCACCTGTCGGTCGGCCCGCCTGGCCGCCGGTCAAAGAGCCGAGGAGGAGCGGAGAGGGCGAGCGCGCGCGCCGCCCGTCCGCGCCCTTTGTCCGCCGGCGCCGGCTGTGACCGCAGGCCGGCTGGGCGGGGGCGCGGCGCCACTCAGGTCCGCTCGCCGGTCACCCGGCCGGAACGGCGCCCGCCCCACCTCCTTCTCCCCATTGACTTTGCGCGGGTTGTCCAACGCTGGTGCTCCGCCCGCCGCACCGTCGCGCTGGGACCGCTGCTGGGGAACGCCTACGGCCCTAGGTGCGGTACCCGGATCACCTCCCGGTCCCAGCCCCGCTCGGGTCGCAGCTGGGCTAGGTGCGGTACCCGGATCGCCTCCCGGTCCCAGCCCCGCTCGGGCCGCAGCTGGGCTAGGTGCGGTACTCGGATCGCCCCCCGGTCCCAGCCCCGCTCGGGCCGCAGCTGGGCTAGGTGCGGTACTCGGATCGCCTCCCGGTCCCAGCCCCGCTCGGGCCGCAGCTGGGCTAGGTGCGGTACCCGGATCGCCTCCCGTTCCCAGCCCCGCTCGGGCCGCAGCTCGGGTCGCTGCCGCCACCCCGCCGTCGGCGTTCCTCCGCGGGACGCCGCCGGATGGTGCTAAACCGCCGGCCGGCGCGCCGTAAAGCGCGGG